TGTTGGGATGTGGATCCAATCAAGAGACCAACCATTGGGGAGCTTTGGGAATTTGCTCGTAATAAATCAAAGGAAATTTATGAAGCAAAAATTTTTAATGAAATTAGCAGTGGTTGTGGTGGTAATAGCAGTAATTCACAACAAATTCACAAATCACATCCATTAGCATGACATACAAGTCGAATATTAAATGATGTAAATGATGAATTTGCTAAATTGAATTTAAAAAATTTAAAAAGTAATGATAGTTTATTAAGTGACCTTGATATTAATGAAATATAATTTTAATAAGGAAATTAAATAGTTAATTAATTAATTGAAATCTACTAATTTAAATATGATTATTTTATTAATTAATTATAATGATGATAATAATAAGTAGTTGATAAGGTCAAAATTGGAAAATTGGGTGAATTTGTTGATGGTAGATAATTAATTATTTCTAATTATTTTCATTGCCTTCATTATTAATAATTTATTTGTTTATTTTATTATTATTTCTAAAAAGTTTGATTAATTTCTTCAAATTCAGAATCACACATTTTTATACATAATTGAATAATTAATATAATCCATAATTTTCTTAATGTCAAAAGTTGAAATTATCTCAAGGTCAATTGTTAAATGCAAAATGAACAATCTCAAATTTCAGTCAGTAGAGATTTCATATAACTTTCAATTCTGTGCACTATTTTTTTTTTCTGTACATTTTTTATTTTATTTTTTAATTTTGTACAAAATTTGTGAATTCTGGAAAGTTTGTTGGTGGGGGCCAGTCTGTACGATCTTTGATTCCATATTTTTGTTCAAGATATTCTGATAAATATTGTGAAAAGTGTATTAGTCTACACTTACAGAGCCTTTTCAGCATTTGGACTAGAGTTGCCTTTCTAAACTCTAACCTCTTTTCTAAACTAGTTTAGAAACCCTAAACTACTTTCGAAACTAACCCGAAACTCCAGATATTTTCTGTGAATCAATCCGATTTTCTTTTTGTGGTATTTTTGCAAAACCTAAAGATTTTAATTGACGATCCCGTCTATAAATGGGTCTCGAAGACGCAGTTTACTGTGCCTCGGAGGCAATAAAATCCATACAGTCATGTGACTTTCAAAGCTGTCTGGTCACGGGACCACATACTATCATTCCATAAACGGGAGAAATCGGCAATATAAAAATGAAATACTATTAGTACAACCTTGTCTTATAAAATTCTAATTTTTTTTTTATAAATCGATAGTTATTAAGGTTAACTTGAAGACTGTTCATTTAGTTATCCTTAAATTAACAAAAACATATAGTGAGGACAAGTATTCGTAACTTTACTTATAAATTCGCAACATGTGTTGAACTTCGCGTTACCTTTCCAGTAAACTTTATTAACAAAAGTTATCAAAAGCACACCGTTCAAAAGCCTTAATCCCAGAGAGTATATATACAAAGTTTTGTTTAATTTACAAGAAGTTTTGTTTTGTTCACCGCGGTCTTGTGATTTTTTTCCATGTACTGTGTAACTGAACTCTACATTACACCGTTCTTTTATACTTTTGTTAATTGAGTGGAATCTGAATTTTGTAACCCTTAGATTTACATGTTAGTTTTTAAATTAATATTTCTAAGGTTTTAAATATTTTTTGAAGTTTTTATAAATACTAAACCTGATTACTTATATAAAATATAGATGGTATTATAGAATGGTGACATGCTTATGTATCGTTAATATATTAGTATCAAAAGAAATTCATGATCATTGATAATTGATAACAATATTATACAACGCAAAAAAATCAATTGACATTGTACCAGTTTAGTTTTTTGTTTTCTTAAGTTAAACAAATGTGTATAGTGCAAGTCACTTAGTCCCGCAACTTTTTATAAGTCATGTAAATCCTCAAATCCTCAAAAATAGTATTTTAAAGCCAATACCTTTCTCTACAAAGTTACGATTTCATTTTGTTGATATGTCATGTTATTTTAAGCCTCAAAGTTAGAAGTTTACTGTATTTACTATTTTCAACCCTAAAAAATTGGCGCATTACACACAAAAAAGTCAACATAAAAAATAACAAAAATAAAATTTGAATTTTTCCCCTTACCTTCCAGATCTTTTATTACGTAAATTGCCCAGATTATATAAAAATTTAATAAAAATAGACTATTGCATTGATAAAGGGAATTGCAAAACATATACTTGATATCTCACATCTATCAAAAATATATTTCATGGAAATACATTTCATTCCTATTGCTATTGTCAATTTTTTTTTAATGGTAACAAATGGTGTATTGCTGATTTTCACTATATGATACGACTAGAAAATAACACATTATCAAACAATTTTTATTGCATTTTTGGTTGGGAAATTATTATTAACACGCCGAATGAATTTATTACACGAGGGAGAAAAGGTGGATATGGTATTGTTCTGGAGGATGGGAGTATTTGTTGTTTATTGATAGCAAGAGGTTTATTTTTGTGTATTGATTTATTTTTATTTTATATAAAATATATTATTGAAATCAAAACGTGAAGCAGAACTTATCACATCTTGGGTATTTATATGATTCTTTATCAATGATAATAAATAAACGATTGGTATCGTTTTACTTTTGTATAATATAAATATATAATTGTAAGATCTCAAGGGTAAAGAAAAGCAACATGACTGTTGAAAAGAAGAAATAATTCAATAAGAAGCAATTCGATATGAACGTTTGATTATAGGATGTTGAAGTACACACACTACCTTGAACATCTTTTAATCATTCTCTCATGTTCCCCATGCAAAAAAGTTAATTTAACTCGCCCCTGATGATACGATGATGAATAGAATTCCAGGGAAGAGAAAAGATGCCCTGGAGTTTATCAAGATTCATCATTGTCAAGGACAATCTTCCTCACAGCACCTGAGCTGGCATCACCCAGATATGCATGTTGGCTGAAAAGTTTCCTGCAATAATACTATGATAAAAATGGCTGGCTCTGCAATCAAAAAGTCACAACTCGAAGATTGCAGCATTTTGAAGAGTTGTAATGTTAGGTGTGATAAACATCCAAATCCATCGAAGCAATAAGAATCTACAACACATTTCAAGCTTGTGAGAAACTTGCAATCCAGAATGGAGTTTGCGCTCTTTCATTTTCAAAAAGCTTGCTAGATTTCTGGCATTATTAAATTAATTATTTTCCTAAATTCTATGATTTTTTGATATTGGCCAGATTTATAATTTTGGTAGGAACTGGGCTTTTGCCCAAATAGTCACCCTATATCAAGCCTATGAAATAGGATCTCTAAACTTTATGAAAAAAAGTTCCAATTGTAATTAAGAAAATTGAAAATAAACATTTATTTCATCTAAAAATGTAGTTTCAACTCCTAAATTGCAGAAATAGATGCTAATCCTTATAATTTATACTAGTAGGGATAACACAATACAATAATCAGCTCTGAGGGGAAAGTTTTTGCCAAAGGCCTTCTAATGTGTTGACAATTTTTTCATCTGTGAAAGAAAAAATTCCATGGACATGAGATTTGCAATTGCGCATTTGATAATAGGTTTATTTAAATCTGACACCTGCGATCAATTTATTGTTCATTTTAAGGAATTATATACAATGGGAAGGAAAAATATTTTTTGATCCTCCAGTAAGATTGATTTGAAAGTGAGTTCCTTAAAAGTTTCATTTCTACATGGTCTTGGTATTATTTATTACTCGAGTGATGCAATCGTTTGTTATGTCAATGATAATGTCAAATGTATTATTGAATAATAATCATAACCATCATGAATATTTAATGGATGGATGAAGATATTCACATACAGGGAAAGGATTAAATAGCCAAGTTGTTTTTTTGTTTGTTTTGTTAATTATATTTAAAAATATAAAATAAAAAAATTACACGGATAATTGCAACTCGTAATCATTCTAATTAATTAATAAAATTCATTATATAAAATTTCAAGGTATATAATCAGGAAGGGAAATTTTATATATCAGTGATAAAAAAGACCTTCTGAATTACTGGTGGGAGTATTATTGCAGCCTTTTCAGCACTCTTAAAGTAGTTTTCCCATCTCTGGAAGAAGCAGAATGGGGTCTAAAAGGTTGGACGAGCGCCCGAGCATTAGTTAGTTTAAATACATAAGAAGCTATTTTCTCACCTTGGTTTTTTTTTAAAAAAATATATTTCTAATAGTACTGTAATTCTTGATTACATGGTAGATCTTGTGTCATGTTATAGATAGTGAAAATGCAAACTAAATGAAGGAACCTGGAAAACCAAAGCCATCTTAATATAAATGAAACAAAATTTTTAAAAGTACGTAACTACCAAGGACGATTATTAGAAATAATTTTTGGGTGGCTGTTCAAGTGACTTTGGGCATAGTTAGAGTAAACTTGGTTTTTAATAGCAACAGCAGTAATAGTAAATGATTAATTTATTTTCAAACTATGCCCATTATTGGATAGAAGAAGCGCTAAAACGATAATGTTACTTACAACAACTATCAATATAAATTAATTTGTGACAAAAAGATCAATGGAAAGAACGATATGTATTTCATGATTCAATTAAATTATAGATAATATTATTTATTATTATTTATGCATCAATTGGATAAATGTTGTTTTACATTTAAAACTACGAATATTATTACGATATGATAATTATTATTATTATTATATATGGTTATGAAGCTATTATTATTATAATACAAGAATAAATTTTTTTTTCTTTTTTTTTCAAGTTGATTTTCTTTGTTTAAGTACGTTCACCACGAAGACGACGAGCCAATTGGATATCTTTTGGTTGAATTGTAACCCTTTTAGCTATAGAAAAAAAAAATTTAAACATATTAATTATTTATCGACAAATGTTGAATAATATAATATTCCTTTTCCACACCACTAATAATAAATTTTCTATTTACCATGAATAGCAGCTAGATTAGTATCTTCGAATAAAGAGACCAAATAAGCTTCAGCTGCTTCTTGTAAAGCTCCTATGGCACTTGATTGAAAACGTAAATCAGTTTTGAAATCTTGAGCTATTTCTCTCACGAGTCTTTGGAAAGGTAATTTACGAATCAACAATTCTGTGCTTTTTTGATAACGACGAATTTCACGTAAGGCCACAGTACCAGGTCTGTAACGATGTGGTTTCTTAACACCTCCGCTAGCTGTTGGTGCGGATATACGAGCGGCTTTTGTTGCAAGTTGTTTTCTTGGTGCTTTTCCACCGGTACTTTTACGTGCAGTTTGCTATTTATTAATAGAAAGTATTATTGTTAGTGGAAAAGAAAGAAAGAAAGAAAGAAAGAAAGAAACAGAGAAGAGACGTTATATTTTTAATAACAATAATAATAATATATATAAAGATTTACTTTAGTACGGGCCATATTTTAATAATAATATAATAAATGTAAGTAAGTATTAGTAGGAGGTAATAAAGAGAGAGAAGTTGAGAAGAAAATGTATATGTGTGTGTGTGTGTGTGTGTGTGTGTGTTGTGTGTATAATAATGGGAGAGAAGAAGTTTATTTATTTTTTTAAAAAAATATTTCTTAATTTATGTATTAAATATAAATATTTAGGAAAATATTTTGCGAGTGATGATTTATTTATATTATATTTGTATATAACAATAATATGCAAAATAAATAAATAAATAAACTGATTGAATGATTAAATGAGTGAGTTAGTTGTGTGAGTTGGTGGAGGGTGAGTGGGTTAATAATAATAAGTTGAATGGTGCGGCGGGTAAAGAAAAACAAGGAATAAAATTAAGTGGATTAAAGTGGAAATTTTTCAAATTCAAATTCAATTTAAATTCGTTTTTTCGATTTTTTTAGCTGAAAAAATTTATTGTTATTTATATTTTGGAAAATAAAAGAGGGACTTTTTTATTATGAGCGGTTTGTGTAGCATGGAAAAACAATTAAATAAATGACAATAATTAAAGGAAAAAGGAAAATAGAAATTCATTCAATCAACTACATCAACCAATCAGTCAACTGCGTTCCGACAATTCTTATTAATTTTCCAAATGTAGTTTTTTCATTCAGAATCAAAAAAAACCTAAATGGAATTGTTTATTATTATCGTATATGTGAAATGATGCACTAATTTTGATTATATTTCATTATATCAAGCATCTCAATAAAGTTTAATAATAGTTAGGGGAAACGAAATTAATTGTTCTGAGAAATTCGGCTCGGAATTTGTTTGGACGAATGCTTACCTAATATATATGTATATCATTGGTTACTATTAATAAACATAACATGAAACAATAAGGGTGCTGCTGTCAATATAATATATAAACACTTTTTTTTATTATTATTATTACTACTATTATTATTACTATTATTTCTTTCTATTTATTTAATATTATTCTACAATCAATTTTTAAAACAAAATATTAATTACAAACTAGCAAAAAAAAATATGTCATCTCATCCACCACCAACGCCACCATCATTGTCATCTCTATCTTCATCCCCCTCCTCCTCCACCACCTCTTTATCGTCGTCGTCATCGTCATCATCTACCAATTCCAACCCTTCAAAAACAACACCCGTAAAAATTGCCGGCTTTGAATATTTAAACTCTGACATTGTTCTAATTCCTGGTAAAAGAAAGATTCTTATTTTTAATATCTATTATGATTATTATTATTACAATATAATAAAACTTGACTCATTCCATCCATTCCAGGGTTTCGTGGTTCCAAACTTTACAATGTAAAAAAAAAAAGTCATAGTTGGCTCTCGATAACGACTCCATTTCTACCAAACAGTAAAGAAAATATCGATCTACCACTAAACATTATTGCTGACGAACCTGACGATGTGATAGCTGACGGGATATTGGAGGAGATAGGGTTTATTAAATTTTACAAAGATTTGATCGTCTATATTGAAGAATTGTCACAACAACATTACAAATCATATCTTAGAGAAAACAGGAAATCTAGAAAAAGTAAATTGATGAACGATAGCGTCAATTTAAAAAAAAAAAGTCCGTTAATAAGATGATCACATCAATCTTTTTGAAGAATAAAAATTTAATGGTTGAGAACGAGAGTTTGCAACAACATCAGGAGGCCCAGTTACAAAACATTCGAGAAGAGAATGGTAAAGAACAATTACAAGATCAACAAGAAGGGTATAAGCCACCATTTAAATTGCATAAATTCAGTTATGATTGGCGTCGTTCAAATACTTCCACTACTAATAAATTTCTCGAGTTTCTTCGAGACATTTACTCGAACAACGGTCAAAAGCCAATCTATGTGATTGCTCATTCTAACGGTGGTCTGATAACCTTGTCTGCTCTTCACCAGCAACCAGAACTATTTGCTGGTTGTATATTTGCCGGTTCATTATTTCACGGAGCACCTGGGATTCTTCATACCTTCAAATACGGCGACAATATATTGTTCAACAAGCGAATTCACGATGAAGCCGCCCATTTCACATTGCGATCCGCTTATCATTTTTTGCCAGCGCAATACGACAAAGTTTTTAAGGATAGTGTCAGTGGAGAGTATTTAAGCGAGTTTGATTATTTTGATGTGGATTGTTGGAAGAATTGTCAACTCTCAAATCTGGTTAGTCATGATGATGATGATGATGATGATAATGAAGAAAACCCTAGATATTTGGAATTGGGTAGTAAAAAGGAAAGAGCCGATTATTTGAAAATGGTTTTGGATGATACCAAAGCATTTCATGAGACATTGAAGTTGCCTAAAGATAAATCGATCAATTATCCACCTTTGGCAACTATAGTATCGGACAGTCATTCTGCAACTAGTGGCTTTCATGTTAAACTTGATGATGACGGTAATAAATTCACAATTCTGTATGATCAACCAATTCGGGTAAAAGGTGATGGCGCAGTTCCATTTACAAGTACTAGATTGCCTGACGGTATACCATATGATGTGTTTCACACCACTCGTGTCCATAGTGAATTATTACAAGATTTAGTTACTGTTGGTAAAGCAATTGAAAGGGTTTTTGGTAAAAAAGAAGTAGTAGAAGAAAAGATTTTATAATAGATTATCATTTTTATAGAGATTTGTAAGATAAAAAAAACAAATTACTATATATTTATGTAATCTTCATATATATATATAGCGTATCAATATTAATATAAAATTTCTTTAGTAATGGTAAAAAATACAAATCAATAAAAAAAATCTTTAAAACTATATATTCTTTACCATCACCAATAATTAAATTAATTAATTAATGTTTCCTTGTATGACAACATTTTTAATGGATGGTGTATCATCCTAATGAATTGAAGTGTATTATTAAAGACAAGACTAAAATTCCTGGGAAAAGATTGATTATATGGTAACTTTGGTTTATAGTTTTATTTAATGAAAATTAAACTTTTGATTTTAACCATATATATATATTTGCAGGGACAGACGACAGATGTCAATTAATTAGATCAATGAAATTCCCCAAAACTAGTCGATTATAGACCATAATGTGCTAAAACCCATTCGGAAGGATTAGCGTTAAAGTTTTAGTCAATGGAGAAAAACTGACAATGAACATTGATGATGATGAACATTGATGATTAATTAAAATAAAATGTTGCTTTATTATTGGCTATTTATTTTATTTATTTAATCATCATCATCAATATATTATGTATGTATATTATTTACAAATAAAACATTGTGATTTTAATATTGCTATCTTTGAAAATTTCTTTAACAGTTTCTACAACATAATCATAACTCAATTGGTCTAAACCTGTACCTATTCTAGGCATACTCAACCCAGTAACACCTTGACTTTCACATAAATTTCTCAATTCCTTTAAACTAGCCTCAAAATCTGGTTTGGTTGGCTTTTCGTGAGTATGCATTTTTGTGATCAGATAATAAATGTAACGATTCTCACGTAAAAGATAAGCGACTTGACCAACTTTCTTATTTTGTGATTTCAATTCATCCGTTCCATTGTATAGCTTCTGGAATATTGCTGCAATCCCTTTATCCATTTGCAAATCTTGTGCTACACAATTCACCAACGAATCTGTTGAAGAAGAATCCTTAAACAAATCACCTTGTTTGTCTTCAAAGGAAAAATTAAAGGGTTTTGTTTCTGGTTTTTGCATTTCTTTATTATTTATTATTTTAATACCGTTACGTTATCTCTGTTATTTATTGTCGTCAAGCCGTTGTCGTTGTTGTTGTTGTGAGGTTATTATTATATTTGTCAAATAAATAAATTTTAAGGTAAATTTTTGAAAATTTTGTCGCCGGTTTTTAATGGAATGACGAATTATTTTTTATAAATGGGCACAACAAAAAGAATTTTGGTCGTACAAAAGTGTTTTTAACCGTCACTTCTTGTTTCTCTTTTTTTTTTTTTTCTTTTAATCAAATATTCTTTATACAACAAGTACTATATAGGTAGACTCACATGCTTTCGTTATTTGATAACTATATTCAAGTATATTCAAGTACATTCAGGTATGTTCGGAGTTATTAGGAATATATTTTTAATAATTCCCTATACGCATAAAATGATGCATTTGAAATCGGAGATATCTTCCGCTCATTTTTCCTTAAAGAATTGAATTGTGATCAATAATCTTTTCTTTAACTTCCTTAATATTATCTAGGATATATTTTAATAATTGTCATGACCTTTAATTAAAGCTACTCTTGACTAACTATTTATTTAGCTACAGCTTTGTCATTTTCTCCAACAACACCACCATTCTTTGCTTGGAAGGAAAATTCGACCCCTTAGTATTCTGGTAGAGATCTGCGCGTTTAATATATCCCGGTTCTTTTTAGGAAATCAAATCTTACGTAAACCTGCACGGGGTCAAAATTGTCCAGCTTTATTACCAGTATTACCAGATAATGCTGGACTGAAGTAGGTTTACATAAGGTTTGATTTCCTGATCAGTAAAACTGTGCAAATTAATGATGTAAATGAGGGACTGGTTGATGGCCAAAAACCTCTTTTTCACTACTATAAATTTGAATGTTACGATTATGTCCTTTATTTAACTTATCAATGCTACTTTCAAATAGAGACATTCAATCTGCCTTTTTTGTTCTCTCTAGGACCTTTTGATGTGTTTGGTTATTATCTTTAGGTTTGGACTCACAATCTACCAAAACTAGGCATCTTTTATTCTCTCCAATAACTTCTATCTTCTTCCTATCAACTATTCTTTACTCAGTCACTATTCTGCAGAATACACTTTTCCTAAATTATATAAGATCACATGAATTATAGCAGCATTGTTAAAAGTATTTTTAAAAAAAAGGACAAGGTGAGAAGGTTTCACCAACTTGTGTATTTACATTAGTTGATATGAGGAAAGTTATAAAGTAGAAGAAAAAAATGAAAGGTGGGCAATTTTGCCAAAAGAAAAATATTATGGAATGAAAAAAATCTCACGATCACATAACCGAGAAAGCAAATGGTCTATCTTTTCTTTTAGCAATATAATATAATAATAATAACTGCAACTATATTACACTAAATAACTGCACATCATAAATCAAATAGATTTACTATCACATGTGCATGTTTTGAGATATGTTTCTTATATTCTGCTGCCGTTTTTTAAAGCCCTCTCATCTTTGAACACCAGTTTTGACATAATAATTATTAGGTCGTAATTTGGCAAAATGGCTATCCATCCTGTCGAGAAATATATTTTTGTCACGTTTTGGGTCAATAAGGAAAGGAGATCAAAATCGGTCATATCTAATGAGTTGCTGAGTTTTTGCTTCAGGAAAATTGATAAGAGAGTTAACACTAATATGCAGCAGCTTACATACAACGTACATACATCGAGTGAGTTTCAATTTGTCGGCCTTTCTTAAGTTGCCAGAAATAATCAATTCGAAAATCAAAATTATCTTTTAGAAATCCTTTGATATAGACAAGAATGGCCCTTTAATCCATCAGTTTTAGCTATTTTATTTCAACCCTTCATTTATTCTTTCAATTTCTAGAAAGTTGTATTTATGCCCTTTGTAGAGACGTCTTCACATCCCCAATTCTCCTTGGCTTGTTTAAGAAATTTATAACGCACTAGTGATTTATGGAAGAAAGAGGCTTCATCCTAATCACAAATAATTTTTAAATTTATTCAATGATTAATAAAACTTATAAATTGGATGAATCAAAACAATATATATATATAATAATATGATGCGAGAATCAGCATTCTATAAGATATCGGATAGGATTTTAATTCTTGCTTGTGTTTTTAACCTAACATCGCCTAATTTCTCAAGTTAAAAGAAATTGCATATTCTCATTTTTTTTATTCCTAATGTTTTTAATTTGGAGTAACTGTTGTTCTGAAAAAGAAATGATTAAAAGAATTTTTAACATCCTTTTCAGAACTTTTGCAATACGGCCCGGCTAGCTCAATTGGTAGAGCGTGAGACTCTTAATCTCAAGGTTGGGGGTTCGATCCCCCCGTTGGGCGTATATTTTCTTTTAGTAAAAAAAAAAATATTATAAACAAACAATTTTTATTTATTGGATTGTTACAACATTTCAATCAATATTCTTTTGTTTTTAGCATTCACTCAAATAATATTTTTACAAGCAACAACTGCTTCAAACATCAATCTACAAGTCTTCAATCCTTAATTGATCTACAATCATCTTGCCATCACCCTCCCTCCTTATTCATCATTGGTATCATCATTACCATGTGTTGTTGTTGACTCGACTTGAATCATTTTAGCAGATCTTAACCTATTTAATGCAGCCGTAGTCTCAAATCTTCTCGCTCTAGAATAAAATCCCAATTTTCTATCGTCAATGTTGATAATATTGCTACCTAGTCCAATTAAACTATAATCATGTTCATTATCAAAAAAATCCATCCATTTGTTTATTGTGAATGATTCTTCATTTTTGTTGTATTGTTGTCGTTGGATATACGTCAATTCATTTGCTATCAAATTTGTTTGTGAACGTTCAACAAGTTGTTCAAAATTTGATAAGTCAAGTTTCGTGGGCGGCTTTGTATCATAATATTCGATAAGATGTTGATGTTTTGCACGAAATGTTTTTGATTGCATTGAATCATTGATTTTTGGTATTCGATCTGTTACGGTGCCGTAATTATCACTAGCGCTACTATTACTATTATTCTGAGTTGCTAACGACTTTGCTTTAGCTGTTACGTCCCTAAAAAAAAGGATTTATAACTGTGATCGGCTTTTTTATTGCATGCTTTGAATGCAACTTTTAGATAAATTGTTTATACCATACCTTGCTTTATAATTTTCCATAACAATCACCAGGTCAGCAACATTTAAAAAACTTGCTAGATTCCCAATAATTATTATAGTGGAAACTCCAAGTTCGTCATAAAGTTGCCTTATCTATTTTTTTTTTTTCCAGAAAAAGAATAATTTTATTAAAAACAAGAAATAATAAATAAATATTGTATATAATATTAAAACCTTATCAATTAATGGTATAATAGGTTCATTGCAAGAAACCGATAACAATTCTTGCATTATCTTATCTTTTACTAAACTATTATTATTAAATGCAAAAGATTAATTTAATCAATATATATACAATATCATAATAATAATAAAAAGAAAACTTCTTACAAATTTGTAGCACAAGTGTCCTCATCATATAAAATTGTAGTGGCCCCAACCTTTGGAAAAACAATAAAAATTTCATAAAAACCTTTTATATAAATATCAATGGAACAAAATGAACTTTTTTTTTAATCACCTCCAGCATTTCTTGGATGCTAGCTGCCATACTTGTACTACCACTTGCATCATCTGTAGAAAAACATTTATTAATTTTATCACCTGGTAAACCTTCGAAGAATGGTGTTATATCTGTATTGGTCACGTAGCGGCTATTTGTTGTCATTTGATTTATAATTATTAGTATATTAAATTGTAAAATATTTTCATTTTTTAAAATAAACATACCCATTCTCTGCTCTGATTTTCACTGAACCCTTATCAATGACAACAAATTCTCTTCCATCACCTTTTATAAAATAATTGTTTTATTCATTCAAGTCATAAACAATAATAACAAGATATTTATCAAAAAAATAACAGTTATAAAACCTGGTATGTGGTTATAAATTCCTAATTCAAGTGCTTGTAATAAAGTAGTTTTTCCCTGGGGAGTTTTTTATAAAACAAATATAGCAAATCATTAACTCAAAAGAATGAATATTTCGTTCCATGCTCTTAATTCACCAAAAAAGAATAATAATTACATGGAATCCACCGCCCTAAATTAATTAATATACAATTATTATGCGTTTTTATTTAAATAAAATAAAAAAACCACCAAGAAAAATTTTAATTTTTAACTGTTATCATAGTAATTCCAGGTGGTATGCCCATTCCTTTGATGATACCTTGGTTTGGCAATTCCACTGAAACTTCAAGATTTGGTGGTGACATAAATGGTACCTAAAAGATTTCTTTTATTATTATTATTGACATACTTTTAACATTACTGATAATTATTATGAGTTAATACTAGCCGTATTGTTACCACACATTGGCAAATCAGATGCTCCGGATATACGTGGAAGTATAGCACCATTACGTACAAATGCGATCAATCCTTTAAATATTTTGATGTCAATTACTATAATAACTATTTTTTAAAATTTATAAACAAATATATCTATCAATCTATCAACCTAATTTCTTCAAGCTTTCTCTTAAAAATTCTTGATCTTCTATACTTTCAATATGTGATCTAAGGTCACCATGATTTAAAACACGGTAATACAAAGTTGATCCTATAACGGTTGGAAGATTCTCAACCAAAGTTTGCATGGCGATATCAGATTTTATCGTACGACCTGTTTTTGATATTTTTTTAATATAAAATAATCTAATCTTGAATACAAACATAGATCGAGCAAGTTGTGTGCGTATGTACATTTTTACATACGAATACGATTTATTTAACATGGCATATACCTCTGGCAGGTAAATTAACAGTTAATCTCGCTTCGATCCATTTCTCATCTGCAACAACGCTAGTTCTTTGAATTACATGTTGACTAGGTTTATCAATTCCAATCTCACCGCCTTTAACCTGATGAAAGGTCAAATGTTTGTTTGCTTTCTCATCATACAGTGATCCATTATTACCAAGTACACTGTGTATGTGCCGTGTCAAATAATCACAAAGTGCCACGTTCCTGATCTTAGATGTCAAGTACTCTCTAGGAAACTGGGCTAGCGTTTGTGGTACACGAACACGGACACTACTTGGTGGTGCAAAAGGGTCTACTTGAATTGTAGAAATATAGATTCTGTAATGATCCATATCATAAACACCTTAAAAAATCAAACAAACAAGTTTAAAAAAAAAAACTTCAAAATAAAAAACAAATATAGCACATAATTAATCACCCTTGATTCTGTTATATTGTTTATAAGGCCTATTATTAATTTCCTTTAACAAACTAATTAATTTTTGTGTTTCGTCATTATTTTTAAATTCTTGATTAAATAATTCGGTATTGATACTGTCATAAGATCCTTGCTGCTGATAATTACTTTGTTGTGAATCATTGTTATTATTATTATAGCTTTTGTTACCATATTTTGCTTTATAATAAGCACCTAACAATGAACATATCGTTAATCAATAAATGGAAATTATTATCATATACACACATATATTACCTCTATTATTATAACTATTATTCATTTTTTTATAAAGTGTATCAAAAAAAAAGGCTTGGATACTACTAATACGGTTGATATTTTTTATCTGGTGTAAATTGGAAACTTGCATATTAGTATTAGTATTAGTACCTATACTAACTCATATTAAAAAAGAAATTTGGTAATGATAATCGGGAGAACTTTTTAATATTTTTTTTTCAATAAAAAACGGAAAGACAAGACAATTTGTCATTGCTATATCTTAATATAAACATGAAAAAAAACTTACTCTTTAAAAAAATAAAAAGCATAAAACATAAACCGAAAAAATGGAGATAAAGAATTTTATCGATTCGGCACTTCATAGATCACCACAGCCAGAATCATATGAAAAAAAAGTAAGGAATAATAAAGGAGAAAAATTGCCAAGAAAATAATATTAATAATAAAAATTATATTTTTCAAAATTGTTATTAGAAATTTTACAGAATTGGGAAAACGTTAGGTACATAATTGTCATTTATCGTAACATTATTAATATTATTATTACATCTTAATTAATTGGTTAAATCATTTTTATGTTGAATGATGATTATATATATAGGTACAGGAACTTATGGATCAGTTAAAGAAGCAGTAAAAAAAACCACAGGCCATAAGTTTGCAATTAAAGTTATTGAGAAAAGTAAAGTAAGAAATCAAGAAGAAATAGTCTACAAAGAAATGTATATATTATCCAAACTAGATCATCCCAATATTGTGAAGTTTTATGATTGGTTTGAATCAAGAAATAGATACTACCTAGTATTTGAACTGTATCCTTCCTCATCAATTAATCAATCAAATAATTATTTATTATTATTATTATTATTATTACTATCTACTGCTACATCCCTACTCATTGTTATTGCTTTATATAGTGCAACAGGTGGAGAATTATTTGAAAGATTAATGAAGATTGGCAAATTTACAGAATCTGATGCTATAGAAATTGTCAAGACCATACTTGGGGCCGTCAAATATCTTCATGAACATAATGTTGTTCATCGAGGTAGTATTAAATAAATATATTAAGAATATGTTTATTTATCAAGTTATTAATGAAATTTTTAAATTTTATTTAGATTTAAAACCTGAAAATTTATTATATAAAGATAAATTAAAAGATTCGCCACTTGTTCTTGCTGATTTTGGGTAATGATGATATATTATTATTTTGTTGTTGTTTCTTTATAAAATTAATCTAGATGAATAATTTCATTTGTTTTTATTAATAAAAGCATATCAAAAGTTATAGAAAATGAAGATGATATTATGTTCACTCATTGTGGATCTTATGTGTATGCAGGTAATAAATTGTAATATTTATTTATTATTAATCAAGTAATATTATCATGATTAATTTAAATTTATTTTTGTTATAAACAGCACCAGAAATTCATCAAAGAATCCCATATTCAAGATCAGTTGATATTTGGAGTATTGGGTATTTATTTCTTGCCAGCAATCTATATATTACAATGAAATTTATATATAATAATTAAAATAATCAATATTAATAATAATTTTTTAATTTTAATTTTTTAATTAATTACATTAACAGAATCATAACTTATTATTTGTATGTGTATTATAATTAAACTTGTTTTATCAAAGATATTTTATTTCTTGAATATTAATAACATTCTTAAATGAATGTTGTTTAATTGATAGATTATGTGGTTATCCACCATTTCGTTCTGAGAATCGAGCAGCGCTTTTAGAAGAAGTAACAAAAGCACATGTGAAGTTTGAGGAACGTTATTGGGGACTTGTATCAGAAAACGGTAATAATTATAATTATATAATTCACATGTATTGGTGTATGTATTGGTAATCAATCTCATGTGTTTTTAATAATTAAATTTTAAATATTAGCCAAGGATTTTATTCTTTATTTATTAAAATCAGATCCAAAAAAGCGACCTACAGCAGAGGAAGCATTAAAACATAAATGGTTGACAGGCAGAAGTGCATCAGATGTAAATTTATTTGGAGATATTATGAAAAATTTCAATGCTCGTAAAAAATTTCGCGAAGCAGTTGAAGCAATAAAAGCAGAAAATAGACTTAAAAAGGCTAATAATAACAAAGAAATAAAAAGATTTAGCAGCGATTTTGAGAATGAAGATGATAGTAGTGGTGACAATAATTTGATAAAAGGAGGCCATAAAAACAATAAACAAGTGCATGCAATTGTTTAATAATAACAATAATAGTATTTAATAATACATGTAATTTTATTCTAAAAAAATTCTATCATTAGTTTTTTGAATGAGTTAACGGATCAATTTCCTGACCGTAACTTTGAGTTTACAATAATTAAATAATTTTCTTCTTAAAAGAATTTAAAATTTATATAAAAGATTTTTAAATGATCTTGTTTCTAAAATTATTATTTGCTTAAATATTTATTTTTGCACTCTTATTGGTCAATTTAATGATCTGTAAAATAAATTGATCCTATTCGAAATTTCGTAAAATTTATTATTGCCCTGCAGATGAATTAAATGCAATTTAATACTTATAAAAAAAGCAAAATAATCCCTATCTCAAAACCAACTTTAATTCATTTGATATGCTAGAATCATGTAAGTTGTCGAGTATATTGAAGGGTAAATAATGGGATTTTGAAGGAAAATGCTGAAAAAATGATGGTAGTAGATATTTCCACGAAAGATAGGTAAGATATCCATATATACGTGTAACGTAATTTGCTTTGATAAGTAAGCAAAGGTTTAGACCACTAACTAGTAAAAGTGTTAACGGCAGTTAATGAAGTATTGTCCAAAGGTTAATTGGAAATACTGTTAGTGCTATTGTAAAAAGCAAAACTGTTAAACAAGCTGCTCGAGTTCTTTTGTAAACAGACAAAAGCAAGTTTGCAATCGCTCAACAAGCTTAAGCAAATTAAAAAAAAGAACTTTATAGGAGCCTTTGAGCTTGCAAAAGACCATGTCTATTTATCTAGTACCATTAAGTGTGCTTATAAATTTTCCGGATACAAGAAAAGAGGCAGTAAGCGAAAATAAATAAGCTTATTACTTGACAAGCAACCGAATTTCTTGCGATTAACTGGCAATAATGGCGCAAAAGTTGGGTCATCATCGGCCATAGTTGTTAAATAATAACAATGACATTTCGATTTATATACATATAAATTTTGTGATAGCTGTTCCTCCAATAGTTTAAAACCCTATCTTTTTTTGCTATTCGCTAATAAATTACTAATATTTTTGTTGCCGGTAGAATAAAATCTATCTTTTCATGGTAACGATATTGCTCCCGTGTTTATTAACTAAAATTCATGGATATAGTTTTTTTCGATTAAAATCACTGCATCTTATTTCCTTGTTTTAAAAACTGTAACATTCTAAAAAAAAACTGATTTAATCATCATATTATTATATCCGAATCGTTATTAAGTTTCAGAGTTTCTTTTTAAAAAAGAAAACATAACAATAATATCTGGTATGTAATTTGAATTCGTTCTCAAAAATGATTTTTGTTCCTCATGCGGACAATTTCCAAATCTAGCTTTGGCTAGAGCTGGTTTTCCAAAACTAGAGAGTCTCGTTTTGCCATAAGTCGTAACTAGTTTTGACATATATACACTACATATATTAAAAACCATTTGATCAGTACATCTATATCCCCTTACTATTGATTTTATTATTTGATTTCCCCTATGTTTGTGATTATACTGTGTGAAATTATTTTCCGTTTTTTCAATAATCAATAATAATAATTCATCAACAGTCGCATGACATTTCTCGCCGATCTATATATAGGAGGTTGTAAAACACTAAAATTGCATTATAGTAAAATTTTTTAATTGAATGTCGTTTGATACCCTTGCTGTGTAGCAACCACCACCAAATTTGAGATAATAACTTCTTTATCATATGTATCTACTTTATGAAAAATTTTAAAGCAGGTTGTTAATAAAGCCGAAAATAATCTGACCCTCAAAGTCAAATTTTGCCTTTATATTCATATACGTAAAATTTTGTTTGGCGCGTCCAATTGCAAGTATAAGTAGAAATAAATGTCCAAATATTACATTATTATGAATATTTACAGATTTCGATCACTTAGGTATGTCTTTTATAGCAATATCATTTATTTTAAAAGTAAATATGATAAATAAATAGATATTAAAATTTTTCTTTTACATTTATTCCTATATATATACATGTGTAAATAATGATTAAATTTATCTCTGACTTTATTATTTATTTATCACAGTGATGTTATTAAATATAAGTTAAAATATAAGTAAAATTAAAGAGAAATTTATATAAACTATTTAATAATAGATAAAACGTTCGTTAGAATATTTTGTTCATAGATTTTGTCCTTAAAGCTTGTACAAACTATTGAATAATTGATAAACCCTTCGTTAGTATAGATCTTGTCCTTAAATCTCTACAAACTATTGAATAATTGATAAAACCTTCGTTAGAATATTTTGTTCACAGATCTTGTCCTTAACGCTTACTTCGATCACTCCTACACAAACTATTGAATAATTGATAAAACGTTTGTTAGAATATTTTGCAAGTTTCATAGATCTTGTCCTTAAAGTTTACTTCGATCATTACTGCAGAAACTATTGAATAATTGATAAAACGTTCGTTAGAATATTTTGTTCATAGATCTTGTCCTTAAAGTTTACTTCAATTACTCCCTATACAAACTATTGAATAATTGGTAAAACGTTCGTTAGTATATTTTGAAAGCTTCATAGATCTGTCCTTAATGCTTACTTCAATCACTCCTACACAAACTATTGAACAATTGATAAAACGTTCGTTAGTGTATTTTGTTCATAGATATTGTCCTTAACGCTTGCTTCGATCACTCCCATACAAACTGGATCTTAATCTTTATTATCATCCTCAAAAAACGATTATTCATTTCGTCGACAATCATTTCGTCGACAGTCATTTTGTCGAAAATTTGTTTCGTCGAAAATTATTTCGTCACAAAAAAAAAACATCATTAAACAAATTTTTCTTCACACTTCCCACACACTCCGCTTTCCTCACTTAATTTCTTAACTAACTTCCCACACTCCTCACATCTAACTCGTTCGGTCACTGGCTCGAGAATGAAATAATTTTCGACGAAGTAAACGCAAAAAAAAATAATAATAATAATAATAATAACAACAACTGTATTTTTTATTTATATCTCATAGAATTGGAGCATGCGCCTACCAAGTATTAAAATTTACAAGATTTTAGATACCGCAAATTGAAATCAGGGTGTTTTTTTTTTTGATAAACACATTTGGGGTGTCCAATACTTTTTGGTGTAAAGGGCTGTAACAGTAGTATTAAAACTAATGATTTTATTTATTATAATCATCATTTTCAAGAATAACTTTGGTACATAATAATTAATTAAATAAAGTTCATTATTAATCTATTATTATTATTATCATTATTAATTATTATTCTATTTAAAAAGAAATTATAAAAATGAAAATTATGCTGTAAAAAATGTGTGCGTGCAAATGTAAATTGAATGTGTGTGAATGTTATTATGTATGAATGTATGAATGTAAATATATAACAAATAATATATACTTTTATAAATAAATTTACAAAAAAAAATAATGATATAAAGAAAGATAAAAAAAATAAAAATAAAGTAAAATTAATTTAAAATATTTACAAAATACTACAGAAAATGTGACTGCACAAATTTAGCGAGTCAGTAACCTTAGCTCCATATGCAATTTTCTGGTTCACCGCCATTACCACCACCAGCCAATCTTTAATGTGTAATCTTATTATGGTTCACTGATATGAAATATTTCACATTCTAAAATTTCATTTTTTGACAAACAACCTAAATCATCATCAAAAAAATATATTGTAGATAATTCGCAACTTTTCTCGGCCAAGTTTACTCTTAAATATCCAAATGTCGGCCCGATATTATCAAATTTAACTGTCATCCAATCAGTGTTAGTGTTATTGTTGTTGTTGTTGTTGTTGTTGTTACTGTCACCATTACTATTATTATTATAATTAATTTTAGAAATTTTGAATCCATTTTTCGAATCATCATCATCGTCAACATCTCCATTACCATTTGCACCAAATGAAAGTATAAATATTTGTGATAATAATTGGGATGATAAATTTTTCTTATTATTATTGTGGTTATTGCAATCAAGACCAATTGGATTATAACCAACTATTAATAAGATATTACTATCATCACCAAGACTATCACTACCAATAGTATTATTATTTTTTATTGTAGATGTTGGTTTACGAATTTTGGTGATAACCAATGTTGGACCATTATTAAATAAACATTTGTTTCTATTATATGAATCTAATCCGTCCCTTGTCATTCTAAACAATAAATTAAATTTATGCATCTTTTGGTTGTTATTGTCATTTTTGATCTTGCTATTTGGATCATTGATGCTGTCGTTATGATTTCCAAGGAATGATAATCTTTTGAAAAAGGTTGCAGATTTTTTGAATTTTCTATAATGGTTTTTTAACGATTTTTTATTATTTTTTTTGTTGTTATTACCACCTTCTTCAATGCATTCTATTAATAATTTCATGTGAAAATGATTAATCAAATTTGAATCATTCAGAATTATATTACCTAATCTACTGTTATTACTACCGACACCATTAATATCAAGATTATTGTTGATGCTTAAATAATGATTGAAAAGTTCATTATTTTTTAATAATAAATTTAATTTTAAATTCTTTTCATGATATTCCGAATTGTTGGTACTAACATTGCTGCAAATTCTAGCACCGTTAACATTATAATTACTATATCTAAAATTGTTGTCAACGAATTCATAATCAAAATCGTATTCTTCATCTATCATGAGCTGAAATTCGTTCCAATATTTTAAATATGGTAAAATGTTTTCAAAGTAAAAATTCCTTGATATATTTGAAAATTTTACAAATAGTAACAAGTTATAAATCGTCCTATAGAATTTAATATATTCTTCCTTCTCCCACAACAATGATCCGTCATCGCTACTAATTTTTATTGCCGTTGATATCATTTTTTGTTTACTCCATTCACAACTAAACTCCCAAATTTCTTCGCTTCCAATTTCTGATTCCTTTCTAACAAACTCCTCCAACAACCTAATAACCATATCCTCCGTCAACAAATACAATTCATTTGCCGATGACAACAACAACATTTTCAAATTTTCTTTATCAACTATTAATATTTTTAAAATGTAGTTGAACAATTTCTTGAACGATGGATTATAAAATGTTGTCAATAATATTTTGATAATGTATGGCCTCAATTTGTCAAGATCCAAATAGATAAAATGTGATTGTATTTCGTTAATGAAATCTGTCAAGACCAGTTCATCTGACGCGATCAATATTTCCAAAATTGTTGGAATATCTAATGCTTCTAATTTCATACTATCAAAATATAAATATCTACAAACATATTTGTAACGAAATAAGGATTAATCCCTTATCACTTGTAACAACATCTTCATTATACAAAATAAGATGATATGATATTGATATTTAATTACCTTAATATCGAAGTAAAAACCTTTGGTGAAATATTAGGCTTATCAAATATATGATAACAATTATTTGAATCTCTTTTTGACCAATTATTTGACAATGCTGTACGAAAATACGAGCTACGTTTACTCAATATCACTGAATGCGATTTGAATTTTTTGATATTGTTTCCAGATCCAACTTTTATTATCACGTCAAAATTTGATAATAATGATGACGACGATGACAACGATGATGATAAAGATGATAAAGACGTTGAAGATTGTGATGATAAATCATTATGATTGTTGTTATAACTTACAGTTAAATAATTATTAGTATTGTTATTGAAAGGTTCTTCGTCAAAATTTATTAAATTTTCAAAGGTTATCTCGTCATCTTCTTTCACATTGTCATTATTAATATTATTAAACTTAAAATTATAATTACTTCCTCTTTTGTTACCTCCTTCCCCTCTATTACCAAGATTATTTTTATAATAAGAAGATTTTAATTTGGTGGGAGGATAAGAAGGTCGATAAGACAAGTAATAGTTGCTTAGTGGTGATTGTTCAGAAGAAGGTCTCTTATTAAATTCTTGCGAAACTGATTTACTGATAATTTTGAAATGCCTTTTATGTTTTTTAACGTTGTCGTCATTATCGTCGTTGTTAATATCAATGTTGTTATCATTTGGTAAGATGATTTCTTCTTCTTTTGGTAATAATATTATTGTTTCATTTAATAATGTATTTGGTGGGAGTTGCAATAATTGGTGACGATGATGATCCTCCATCATTATCTGCATCATATCCGATTCTTCTCTATTATAATCATCATCTTCCAATTTTCCTTCCTCTTGATAGCGAAGATGGTGATGAAGATGGTGATGATCCTCTTGTATTATTAAATTTTCATCTATTGTAAAATTTATTTTTATATCCAATGTCTCTCTACTATCAATACTATCATTGATACTATCGTTAATATCTACATCGTCAATCATTTTATCATTTATCATCATTATTATATTATTGCTGTTATTATTTTTTTCATAATTATAATATATTTCCTGCTCACTTTTATCATCATCACCATCACCATCATCATTATTAGTATCTAAAGGAGAGAATCTATTATTGTAATCGATGTAGTCACCAATATAATTAGTGTTGTTATTTGTTATAGCTTCTAAACTTTCCGCTAACATTCCAGTTATATCGAGCATTTTGACAAAAAAAAATTTTTTTTTTTTGGAATTTGAAATGTTTCAAAATTAACTTATTTTTTTTTTATATAATTTATATATATATATATATATTGATAATTAATGTGAGAATGTTTTTTTTTTAAATATATATATAATTTATATAAATATATATTATTACTATAAATAAAATAATGAGTGATCTTTGATCTTATGATTTACGATTATGAGAAAACACAATGATTTTTTAATTTTAATTTTTTGTCATCAAAAAAGAAAATTCTTTATTGTAAATAATTGCTTGGCCATATTTGTATACAAGCTTGCATGACTTTAAATTAAAAATACTTGTAGGTAATATAATAAATCCATTTTAATGATCATTTTATATGAATTATAAAAATAGACTTTTGAATTTCCAAATATTGTTATTGATGTTAAAATTGATTGATTGATAAAATACCCGCAATCGCCAAATTTATTTCTAAATATGGCTAACTCGCCGCAACCCATCAATAAAAGTTCAGTTGCAGGCGGATATTTTGTGTGGTTTTTTTTATCTTTAATCTCACAATTAATTAATCAATTTTCAATTTATTCCTTCTCTTCTCGTCTCAACAAAATACCAATGATAGTTCATCGATAATAAATTTTCTATTCTTAAACTTTAATTTTCAAAAAATTCAAATAAACCTAAATTAAGTAAATTTTCCTATTTATATTTCATAAAGTATCACATGTAAATAATACACACCACATAAATAAATACATATGCAAGTTGATGTAATCTTCAAAACACCATAAAGCCAAAAACATGAATAAAATACACTTTTTTACATTTTATTTTTCATCCAAGACTTAAGGAGAGATGGATCAAAAGATTAAAGGATTAATATTGATCAATTAGTTAATAAATCAACAAATATTTTGTAAATAATAATAGTAATTACAATTATTCATTAGTAATTAATTTGTTTATTATTTAACATACATTGATTTTTACCAATAATAAAATAAAATATACAATCCATGAATCTCCCTTACATCCATTCATCCCTCCCTAATAACATTTCTCTGTCAACATTCTTCCCACATTCTCTCACTGTTGTTGTTAATCAATTAATCAGTGTTCAGCAATATCCTGTTTTTCTCTCCAGTATTTACCTTTTTTATAGATAGCAATCAACAAACTAATTGTGATTACATTTATCGAGACGATGATTGTAAATGTAAATCCGCTCCCAATAGCTGTCTCAATCGGTTGAGCGATTGCTGACATTCCACCAGCTAAAACTGATCTCAAGAAGTTATTCAATGCTATAACTGATGCACTTCTTGATGGATACGAGTCTACTAAATATGTTGTCAATGAATTAAATGCTATCATTGTACCAAATCCACCTATCATATGTAGAATGTGTGTGGTATTATTATAAGGAGTATATATATAAATCTTATGCACACTCACACACTTGACTTACCAGAAAACATAAAAATCAACGGGAAAACAATATGAACTTTAGCTTCCAATAACCATCCGTAGATTAAATAAGATAAAGGTATCAAAATAACTCCAACCCATGAGCTAAAAATTCTCATTTCCGGATACGCAACCCCGTTGTTCTTTTGAATGGCTTTTTTCAACACATAATCTGACCATTTGCCACCAATAACGCTACCAAACATTAACCCTGCCCCCGGTGCCAAAAAAACCAATCCAACCAATGTTGACGTCAATTTATAATTTGCTGTAAATTTTGTTGGAATCAGTATGTTTTGCACATAGACTATTGAGGTGACAAATATTTTATATCCCAAGATAAATACCACATTCACATAACACATCATTCCTAGTGGTGCGAGTGGGTTAAAGATTTTTCTTGACGATGCTGCCCTTATGATCTCGGACCTTTTGAAACGAAAAGTTTCTGGCAACAAATAATATATCAGTACTAACATTATAGTGCCAAATATTGTTAAAAACCAAAATATATATCTCCATCCGAAATAATCTGTTATAAATCCTCCTATCACGGGCCCGCCTAATGTTCCAATAAAAAATCCAAGATAAAAAAATCCTGCTGCTCTCCCTTTTTCTATTTATTATTATTATTATTATTATTATTAAAGATGAAATTTTTTATTATTATGTAATAGTTACAATTATCATTATTATAACTGCAGTTTAAGTATATATTTTGTTACCAGTAGGAATATAAAGATCACTAAGGGTTCCAACTCCAACACATATAACTGCCGAAGATCCGCATGCTTGTATTATGCGCAAGATTAAAATTTCCTCGAACGTTGTCGCGTAGACACAATATGCACTTGATATGACAAACATTGACAATGATACTATATATACTCTTTGTCTTGTCCCGTACGCATCTGAATACGATGCCCAAAATAATGGTGCTATTCCCATAAATAGTATAAACATTGAAACTATAAAACATAATGAATATTAATAAATGTGTGAATGCGTGTATTTATTAATAATAAAATAAATAATCTCTTTGTTCTTACTTATCCAATTAACACGTAATTGAGTAGTTTTTAATTCATCACGAACTTTTATTATGGCTGGGAAAAATATTCTAAATTAAAAACTTCAATCAATTTTTTTTCTTTTCTTTTAAATATAAAAAGGTTATTAAACCTACGTGTTTGCAATAGGAGCAATCATTCCAGAAATTGAAACTAGAAACATTATACTGGCTTTCTTTTTATTTGGCCATAATTTTGGATCATCTTCTATCACGTTTTCTTCTTCAAAAATTTCTAAATCATTGTCAACAACAACGTTTCGGGTGTTTTCTTCTGGTTCTTTTTTATTGTAATTCTTTGATATTGATATTTTCTCTGTTGCTGCATCACTTTTTCCTTCCACAAGGTTCTCTTCATCTGATCCATCATCATTATTATGTCTTTTAAATAAATATTTTTTATAATTTTTTTCCATCACAACAACATATTATTAAATTACAAAGAAGAAAATAATTCAATTAGTAATGCATTGAAAATTTTTTTGTTTCAAAAACAACCTCCATCAAAGCCACATCATACTATAAATAAACGAGAACACAGCCACTAAACACTACTTTCTATTACCTTTTCTATGCTCAAAAATTATCCTTCTACTTTTTCATATCAATCATAATATTGTATGTGTTATCAAAGAATTATATTTTCAAAACAATATATTAGATATGCAGTAAGAAGAAGTAATGCAATCTATTGTTCAATAAGAATTTTGAATTTTTCAACAATTCATACAATTCACCCTTATATTTTTTTTCTTTAAATAAAAAGGTGAAAACATCAAAGCAGTTTTGTTGTAAATAATTTAAATAATTCATCAATCGGAGAAAACATACTAACATTAATAATCAATCTGTTTTCGGTCCCAGTCCCAGTCCTGGTCCTGACCAATAAAAATCAAAAATGTTTATCATGTGAATAGCAAATAATTTTATTTTTTCAAAACAATTATCATCATCATTATTATGATACTATTGTAAATAAAATCTTTATCAGTAAAAAACAAACATTAATTTTATTTTCTAGACAAAGTGGTGGTCTGTAACCTGTTTCTTGTTTTGGTGGTAGTATTTCCTGCTACCGAAAATGTTTTGTTCACGTGTAACACTTGTGGTCTGGATCGTTGAATAACCCTTTGCCATTTCTGTTAAAATTGTAAATTCATGTTCATGAGCTTTCCACCAAGCTAATGGAGAAATATTTTCATTACTTGGAAAATATAAATATCGTTCAACTTCACCATTATCATTATGATTATGATTTTGTGATGTTGTTAATATTGAACATTATTAATATTATTATTATCGATATTATTAATATTTGGCGATAAGCATTGTTGCTGATATTGATTTTCACCATCCATTAAACAGCATCTATTTAATATTAATAATTTCTAAAGAATTGTTGTCAGAAGATAGATTTTGTTGCTAGTTTAAAGAACAACCAGGCATGAAATCTTTTTTAAACTGATCATGAAAAAAATTAACTGCATCTAAATTTTATTTCAAAAGTTGAGATGTGCATGTTAGCCAATTTCATTATATATAACAAATGTCCAACTTCATGTCAAAATTTTCTTAAAGTGTTATTTGTTTACCCTGGCAAAAAATACATCAAAATAATAATAAAGGTTTTTTCATATTCAAGTAACAATTGATTAAATCAGGCAAGTTTGTGCATGAAAGCTTCATTTTTTAAAAAAAATTTATTAGTGGGTTACATTTGACCCCCTGTAGTTCGCGACTAATAGTAGTAATATTAATAGTAAAGTACATGTTTTAAACTCTACAACAAATAGTTTTTTTGAGAATATCTCTCTATTACATTAAAACTAAAGACCTATTCTATCAACCAATAGAGTTATTTTTTTAAAAGGTACAAAAGAAAGTGACTCTATACTTTTAAAATTTGCCCAAAATTTAGGAGGTCTTTAGACCGAGCCAACTATAATAATTCTTATTGCCGATTTCTCACATTTATGGAATGATCGTCTATAATCACGTGACCGTATAACATTTCAATCTCGTGGTTGGTATGCTTTCAAGGCGCAGTAAGCTCGAGGTTTTGCAAAAATATATACCACAAAAAGAAATGTTGTGTCAAATAAAAAAATTTTTTTTTAAAATTTAATATTAAAAGTTAAAATGTCCTTTGTTAAGTTATTAACACACAACAGAAGAGATTTAGTACTTAAAATTTATAATGAAATGGAAGGTATTGCATATTCTGCTTTTTCAACTGTTTCTGACAGAGAAAATAGAAAAAGTAATTTTTTACAATTAGTCAAAGAAAACAAAGTACTATTAGAAAATGAAAAAGAATATTGTAGAGGAAGGTTTATTTATGAGTTTGAATTAGATAATGCAACTAATAAATGGGGTGAACCAAGAGAATGCAATAATTGTAAAACAACAAGATACTCTGATAAATATTGTGAAAAGTGTATTAGTCTACACTTACAGAGCCTTTTCAGCACTTGGACATCTGGAAATGAGATAATTGATAGTTTTATTCAAAAGTGTCAACAGCTTTCATCTCTTCCAGGTCAAATTATAGAATGGATACCATATGAGCAATTTTATGATATAGAAAAGTTAACAGAAAGCGGATTCAGTTCTATTTATACTGCTGTATGGACAAGAGGATCTATTGATGACTATGATGAAAATAAAAAGAAGTTTAATTATTTTGGATCTCAGCAAGTGGTATTAAAATCATTTAATAATTCAAATAATCCAGGAAAACCTTTTTTTGATGAGGTAATTGTTCTTATTTAAATTAACTAAACCAAACCATTTATTTAAATTAATTGATTTTATTTATGTAATTAATTTCAGGCATTGAATTATTGTAGAATTAAAACAAATTTAATTATGGTGTAACTAAATTCCCAGAAAATGGAAATTATGCAATGGTTCTTGCTTATGCACAAGAGGGAAATTTAATAGATTATATACAAAAAAATCATCATATTTAACATCAAAAGATAGAATTAATATTTTTAGAGATTTATGTGAATCACTATATTTTATACATGAAAAAGATTTAATCTTTTTAAATTTGCTTGTAATCAACTTAAAGAAATTATCAATAATGATAATGATATTAATAGTATTAGTAGTAATTCACAACAAATTCACAAGTCACATCCATTAGCATATTGTACAAGTAGAACATTAAGTGATGAATTTGGTAAATTGAATCAAAGTAATTTAATTATGAAATATAATTTTGATAAGGCAATTAAATAGTTAGTTAATTAATTGAATTTATGGATTTAAATATGATTATATATTATTAATTACAATGATAATAGTAAAAATAATAATTGGTAGGGTCAAAGTTAGAAAATTGGGTTTGATGAGTAGATAATTAATTATTTTATTAATAATTTATTTTGTTTATTTATTATATTTATAAATAAATTTAATTGATTTTCTCTCCAAAATCACATGTTTTATATATAGTAATAGTTGAATAATTAATATAGTACATAATTTTCCTGATGTTAAAAGTCAAAAGTCAAATGAATATAATCCCAACCACATCAATAATACTAATACTAATAACTATTATAAATTTAAAGGATCCAGATTCATATTCTAAAAGTTTTAGATATAATGAACCAGATTCATATTCCAATTCTTTTGCTGGATGTTTTTTACCTTCAAACCAGTGTAGAAGATTCAATGCCAGGAATGTTGGAGTGTTCTGAATTTGTGAAATAATTTCTAAACTTCTGAGATTAATAACAAAGTTTATATTGTTTTAAAGTTGTATACATATATAAAAGCTTGTAAATAATATGTGTAATGTTGAAAATACAAAGAAAAAATATTTTTTACAACCAATGGTATTTTTTTGAAGCTTTAGGAAAGATACTTTGAAAAAATTATATCAAAAGAAAGCTGAAGATTTTTTCTTACAAGTATGAAAATTTTAACTAAGATTAATTTGTGAATTTTTGGTGTACAATATGTACATGTTTCACGCTTTATTTATTTTTACTAATAAACACTAGTAATTTCATAGGGGCGACATTTTGAAATTGACAAATATATATGTGTAACATTCAGTTGTCCCCCCATATATTTACTTACCCCTAGGTATGGTGCATCTAGTCTAGTCCTGGCAACTTTTACATGAAATTTTTTAATTCTATCTAGTCTGTCAACAAATAAAATAAATCAAAAAGCTTTTCATAATCAGTTAGTTTGAAGCTTGAATTAACAAAAAATGAAGAGTTTTTTTTTAAAATCCCATTCTGTATGGAGCTATGAGCTTTTAAAAATCATCATTATTCTATGTTTGGTCTCAATTTGTCCACCATAAATCTTACCAAAATTGCTATATTTGGCTGGAATTAACTTGGATTCCATGTTACACTTGTCACGTGACAAAATATAAATTCAATTTTTTAACGCGTTTTTTTTTTTTTTTTTGCTTCAAAAAAATTTAATTGATGATCCGTCTATGAATCAGAGAAATGTCAATCAATTTATTATGGAAATGCGGGGGAAATTTCATATTAAATGATTGGCAAAAAAAATCAAAAAATCGAATATTTTGAGTAAAAAATAAAAAAAAAACTATAGTATATATTAATTATTGCATTCATAGTTTTTTTTATTTAATAATAAACTCAAAAATAATAATAGGACTTGTCTTCCATTGTATTCGATCTCCCATCTAGGAGCATGTTACTAGATTGTTTGTTAACAACCATGCGAATACACTACCCAACAAGTCCTGTTTAACAAAGGTAATATTATTCTATAAACATAAAAAAAAATTGTTTTCGTTTTTCCTCTGCTTTTCAAACTTTTGATAATGAATATCAA